ACAGACAAACAGAGGGCCCAGAATAAACTACCGTGGCTTTCAGATGGTCTGGACTCTCAGCCGTGTGAGTTCCCCAGCTCAATTATGCCAAAGACCGTATTTTCAGGATGCACGTGTTCCAACAGGGTCGTGCGGTCCTCTGAGGTTTCAGATGGACGAGTGTCCTGGTGGGGTGTCAGATGAGGAACACCCACCCCGACGAGGATGGGGATGTCTCCCAAATCCTCCAGGTCGCCTCGCTAGCATTTCAACAACAAAGAAAAACTGAGATCAGATGGCCGCAACCAAAGTGAAAGCATAGAGAAGACAGGCACACACACACAGTTTTACAAAAACTTACCCGGCCGGTTGATCACAAACCTTTTGGGGTCAGTTCCTCTTGGAGGTCTCTGGGGGTATCCTGGATGAGCCCCCAAATATTGTACCCCATCCACTAGACCCCAAAAAGACCACTGAGGACCCAACACACCAAAATGCAAAAGCAAAGGTTTATGGTTTATTCGGGCTTAAGCTCGGGCTCTCAGACCTCACCAACTCAACAGATCCATGCTGAGAGCCCAGAGTAAGGGAGAGTGGAGCCTTTTATAGGTTTTAGACAAAGCGGAGGGAGGGGGGAGATACCGAAGATACATTTTGGTTGGTTCAAGGAGCGCATGCACGCCAACATAATTTTAAACCGATTGGATGTATAAGATGCAGCCCTGGAAGTTTCTTATTGGTAGGTGCTATTCTCAGGGCTGTGGAATGTGCTGACTGTTACCTGTGGGGCCAGGAGTCTGTTTTTACCTTATAGGGCAGTTTTTATGCTTGGGCTTGCTTAATCTATAGTTTCCTGGAAGGGGGGTGGGGAATAGCAGGCGGGGGTCAGGGCATGCATGTCAGGGTATGTCTAGGCATGTCTAAAGCAGCAGCCAAGCATTTTACAGAAGCTTAAAAGAGCAATTAGTGGGGGTTGGAGGGATTGGGGGGGTAGCGGGTGAATGAAGAGGGTCTCAGGGTTCTACAGTCTACATAGTGAGTTCCAGGACAGCTGGGGCTACAGGGAGACCCTGTCTCAAAAAGACCAATAAAAGAAAAAGAGGTAGCTATAAAGTAAACATTGTAGAAGCAGGCTCTTCTACATGGAAGAGGAACCTTGAGCTTCCCAGGATACCTAGGTATACCCAGGTCAGCCCAAACAAAATTTGATTAGTCACATTCATTTTACTTTAAAATTTTAATTACATTTATTACTTATTTTTATTTATGTGTGCTTGTGTGTTAGGAGGCATGGCCCACATGTCAGAAGACAACTTGAAGGAACCCATTTCTCCCTTTCCACCACGTGGGTCCTGTAGATCTAACTCAGCTGTCAGGCTTTGCAGCAAATGCCTTGAGAGGCTGAGCCATCTCCAGAGCCTCTGATTACACATATAAAAGATAGCCCCACGGGGCACATGCCTTTGTTCCCAGGACTGTGGAGGCAGAGGCAGGCCGATCTCTGTGAATTCAAGGCCAGCCCTGTCTGTAGAGCGAGTGCCAGGCCAGCTGGGGCTACAGGGCGACCTTGTCTCAAAAAGACCAAAAAATTAAAAAATAAAAATAAAGATCATTCAGTCATCTTGGTAACTGGCCCAGCTTCTGTTAACTTGCATGAGCTCAAAAATGCAAAAGAAAGAAAAAAAATAGGTGCTGGAGAGATGGCTCAGCGGTTAAGAACACTGGTTGTTCTTGCAGAAGACCTGGGCTCGAATCCCAGCACCCACATGGCAGCTAACAACTGTTCATAACTCCAGTCCTAGGGGATCTGACAGCCTCTTCTGACCTCCCCAGGCATTGCACAACATGGGTGCACTTACCTACATGCAGGCAATACATGCATACACATAAAATAAAATAAATAAATGAATAAAATTTTTAAAGAAGAAAGAAAAGAAAAAGAAAAAAAGTGCAAAAGAGTTCTTAGCTCCTTGTGTCAAATTTCAGAAGGAATTAAGTCTTAACTTTTCATTAGGTGATCGTTGGGTGTTTCTTTGAGATCCTGTTATGCTCGAGGCAGAGTAAGAATAGCCCCAAAGCAAGGCAGTGGATAAACCCAACAAACAAGAGCAGAGAGGAGGAAGCCAGATCATGTTCACGGTAGGATTAGTACAGAAGATACTCAATTTACTTACTGTTTGGCCAAACTTAATGGCTTAAAATAATACTTTGCTCCCCAATCTGCAGTTGGAACGGGTTTCAGTGGGGGAATAACACCTTTCTGCTCTACTCAGTTTCAGCCAGTCTGGTTCCAGAGCAAGGTGGTGAGTCATTTGAAAGCATGCTCCCTCATGTTTGCTGGCTGTTCATTTAGCTGGAGCTGTTGGCAGAGCACCGCAGTCCTTGGCATATGGACTGGGCTTCCTCACTGTAGTTGGGTTGAGTTACCTCGGCTGAGCAGGCAGGTACAAATACTTTATTACAATAAAGATAGCAAGAGAACCACATTGTACAGGCATAGGTGGGATAGCGTGCCAGATAGTACCCCTGCTGAGGACTGCTCAGTTTCAAGCAGAGAAGAAATAAACTCCACCTCAGGATAGGGAAATGAGGGTCTGGAAGTATAGGTAAGTTTGGGAATATTGTCGTGGCTGTTTTTAGAAAATGCAGTTTTTCTACATAACATTTTGGGGCTGTCATTAAGCTGAGTGAAGAACAGTATTGAATTTGGGGTCTAGTATATCAGGGAAACCTCCAGGATTGAAGAAGCACATCAGTAAAATGCAAAGTAGGGGATCTGCCAGACCTGCTCAATAAAACAGTTGATGAAGGAATCACAGACAAAAACACTCCGGTAAGGTTGGAGCGCTAATTAGGAGGTTACAGAAAGCTAGCTTGTTTTGAAGGCCAGGTTAAGGAATTCAAATTTAGTCGCAGAAATTACTGATGATTTCTGAGCAGGACTATTTTTAAAAGAAGAAAAGAAAAAAGAAAAACCCTTAGATTGTTCAGATAGTAGCGTGCTAGATGGTTAAGAAAAGAGATCAGGAGCTGGAGAAATGGCCCATCAGCTGAGAGCACCAACTGCTCTTACAGAGGAACCTAGTTTGGTTCCTAGCACCCCTATCCAGCAGCTCACAAACTGTAACTCCAGTTCTAAGGGGATACACCATGCCTCTGGCCTCTGCAGGCACCTGGACTCATGTGTACACCCCCGACTTTAAAAATAATAATAAAAGAATAAGCTATTGGGGGATGGAGAGATGGCTCAGTGGTTTAGAACCCTGACTGCTCTTGCAGAGGACCCAGATTTGATTTCCAGCACCCACATGGTGGCTAACAACCATCCATAACTCCAGTTCCAGGAGATCCAACACTCTCTTCTGACTGCCACAGGCATTGCATACATGGGTGCACTTAAACACATGCGGGCAATACAGTCATACACATAGAATAAAAATAAATAAAAAACAAAATAAAAACAAAGGTTTTAAAGAGTTGAAAGCAGGAGTCTGTTCCTCTGACCTCAAAAATAAAATAATGATAATAATAAAAAACAATAAGCTATATATAATATAGTAATATAGGTGAGAAGCAATAAAAATGGTAATCTCTACTAATGTTAGTGTAGCTGGGAAGAACAGAGTGGAGATACCTTACCTGTGAAACGTAGGTAGTTCCTGCTGACTAGTTAGTCACAGAGACGCAAATATCAGACTTGTTTCAAAGTGGAATCGCTTAAAGAATAAAGGACTAGTTGACAGTTAAGGAAGCAGGGCAGGGAGTATCCATGGAGTAGAGATGCCTTTCCTCACCTGCTTGATACAGGCAGCCTGGCCAGCTCCTGTTTCCCTCCCTTATTGCCTGTATTCATGATTCTTGTCCCTGCATATCTTTGTATGACTATTTGATCAGTGTTTTCTATTAGACCAAGCTCTACAAAATGTTGCCTGTTATTTACCCTCCATTGGCTCTGTGTCTAGAATAGCGTCTGCACATCATATTTGTCCAGCAGATGTTTGTTGAACGTTGTTTGTTGCAAGCACAGGAAAAGTGCTATGCACAAGCACAAATGTGAAATTGCAGTTTTCAAGAGTGCTATGGAAAGAGAGCTTAGTGGTAGTTTGGTGTCATTGTGGAGGACTTTGAATGACAAACTGAAAGTCTCAACATTTTTTTGCTTTGTGGTGGATAAACAATTGTGGTGACTATATTTCAGAGAACATATATGATTATTTTTACATTTCTTGATTTTTGTTTTTTTGGTCTTTTTGAGACAGTGTCTCCCTGTAGCCCCAGTTGTCCTGGAACTCACTATGTAGACCAGGCTGGCCTTGAACTCACAGAGATCTGTGCTGGGATTAAAGGCGTGCGCCATCACGCCTGGCTTATTTCTTGATTTTTTTTAAAAAGATAACTTTAGGCTGGAGAGATTGCTCAGTGGTTAAGAACACTGGCTGCTCTTGCAAAGGACCTGGGTTCAATCCTAGCACCCACATGGTGGTTAAGAACCATCCATAACTCTAGTTCCAGGGGCTCTGATTCCCTTTTCTGACCTCCGTGGGCATTGCATGACACAGGTACACTTACACACATGCAGGTAATATATTCATACACATTAAGTAAAAATAAAAAAACTTTTTTTTGGTCTTTTTGAGACAGGGTCTCCCTGTAGCCTGAGCTAGCCTGGATTCGCTATGGAGACCACGCTGGCCAAATAAAATATTTTAAAAGATAACTTTGGTGGAGGGGTGAAGTTAAAGACAGGAAAGCCAGTCCAGATTGGTAGTAAGAAAAATCAAATTGTTTCAAGTGTGGCAGATGCAGAAGCAGAACATTTCAAATGTTCTTTCACATAATCCTTGTAAAGGTTCTTTTCGCATTTTGCAGATGAACAAAAAAGAAAAAAACAAGCCATGTCTGTAATACAAGATATATCTGTAATTCTGTTGAGCATAGGAATTTTAGGCAGGAGGATAATGAGTTTAAGGCCAGCCTGGGTTGCAAAGCAAAACTCTGACTTTAAAACAGAGTGCTTGGTGATGCATACCTTCAAGGTGAGGCAGACCTTTAAACTAGCACTGGAGGCAGAGGCAGATGACAGAGGCCAGCCTAGGGCTACAGGAAAACACTGTCTTAAAAGGGCCAAAAAACCCCCCAACCAACCAAAAAAACAAAAAAAAAAAAAAACAGGGTGGCTGGAGATAGCTCAGTCAATGAAGTGCTTGCTGAGCAAACATGCGGACCTAAGTTTGATCTCCAGTACCCAGGGTAACAATAACAAAAAACGCTTTCAGTGGTATGTGCTTACAATCTCAGTGTTTGGGGAGGTAGAGCTAGGTAGAACCCTGTCTCAAAAAAACAAGGTGGACAGCCTCCTAAAGGATGACATCTAAGGTTATTTTCTGGCTTCTACATGCATTTGCACATGTTCATCCCTTCACACACACATGCACTCACATGAACATATACATACATACACAAAACCAGTAACAACCAATTAAGTAAAAACCAAACCAAAACAAAAAACTTAGATTTATCAGGCAGTCAGTGGTAGCCCAGGAAATTCCAACTGGCAGCAGCAGTGGATGCTAGAGTACCTTGAGAGCTTGTTGACAATGTTGACTTTGGACGTCCTATGTCTAGATTTATTTTGCAGGTCTCAGTGGAGCCCAAGAACTATAGTTTTCCAAGCTCACTCAGGTGATTCTCTGTGAAAGACTGTCCTTGGGTTCTGGACTCCAACCTCTTCTCCTTGAAAGATCTTTTTCTTCTCCCAAAGTGAAGTCAGATGGACTACTCTAGACCCAGGGTCCCACGTTTCAGTCATTGTCAGCACTTATCTGTGTGTTCTGTTGGCATTTCAGCCTGGGTATTCAATAGGAAATCCATCCCCCCTGCCTGTCACTGCACTTCCTTCTCGTTCTTTCGGTGCTTTGAGTATCACTAGTCTATCTCCCTGCTATGACCTTGACAACTTTAAGCATCAACCTCATTCCATAGTCAACATCCAATTTTGTTTTCTGTGTTGTATCTCATATGCCATTCCTGGTTCCATTGCTTCCATGCTGACTTTGGCTTTCCTTGTAGTAACTTCCAATTCTGCAAATTAAGCCAACCTCAGCTTGATACTCTACCTTCCTTGGCTGCCTTCTGTATTAATGCCTGTTTTCATAAGGGTGGAAAGTAATATATGCAATGTTCCTCATCTACAGCTGGCATTCAGTATTGTTTTTTTTATAATATTCTACTATAACACCGCTAAAGATGACTTGATAGAGTTCCCTGCAATGTATATTGCTTACGTATTCATCAGTTTATTGAACCTCTTCACATCTCAAGGGTGCTTTTCTGAGACACCATCCCTTATTCTCCAACCAAAAGTAATTTCCTTTACTTTGAGCCTCAGAGGATAGAAGACTTGTAGCACTTGTTACAGTGCTTGATCACCTACAACGTCCAGTTGTTTCTAGACTTCTGCCTGTGTGAGTGTTCACTAAACATGTACTTAACAAGACCTGTCATTACTGATTGTTACATTTTATTATTTTAAGTGTTTGTGTGCCTGAGTGTATGTATGTGCACCACAGGTAAGCAGGTGACAGTGGAGATCAGAAGAGGGCATCAGATCCCCTGGAACTAGAGTTACAGGTAGTTGTGAGCTGCCTAATGTGGGTACTGGGATCCAAATAGTTTTTTTTGTCTTTTTTGAGACAGGGTCTCCCTGTAGCCCCAGCTGGCCTGGAACTCACTATGTAGACCAGGCTGGCCTCAAACTCACAGAGATATGCTTGCCTCTGCCTCCCGAGTGCTGGGACTAAAGGCGAGCTCTACCACGCCCGGCCTCCAAATAGTTTTTTTTCTGCAAGAGAAGTGCTCTTAACTGCTGAGTCATGTCTTGGCCCTGAGATTGATTGATAACATTTTACCTGAAAAGGTGGCCCCTTTTCATTCTTGCCTGAAAGATGGTATCTTACCAGTGATATCTTGTCGCCTTGACTGTCTTCCTGAACCAGGTTGCAGCAAACCAAATTGTCCTAATCAGTTACCAACTGTCCTGGCAGCAACTTTCAACCATGCTCTTTCCTGGTCTCTTTGTGAGAGTGTGAACACAGAAACTTTATCAGAGCCTCCTGGCTTCCCTAGGCTAGTTGTTACTGCCTGACTAGGAATTATAACCAAATAACCAAATTGACTCCAGATACCAAAAATCATCATAGTTAAATCAAGAGGCACTGCCAATACCAGTCAAGAAAACCATCCTTTGGAATATAAAGCTACCTTTACTTTAAAAAAATATATATATATATATATATTTATTTATTTTTATTTTATGTTATATTTTATGTATGAGTGTTCCACCTGCACGTAAGTGTACCTGTGTCATGCAGTGCCCACGGAGGACAAAAGAGGGCATCAGATCCCCTGGAACTGGAGTTACAGACAGTTGTTAGCCAGCATTTAGGTGCTGGGATTTGAACCTGGGTCTTTTACAAGAGCAGTCAGAGCAACAAGGCCTCTCAGCTGGCCCAGAAAGATCCCTCTGCCTTTGTTTCCCTAGTGCTGGGATTAAAGGCATGTGCCACTATGCCCAGCTTCTGTCCTACCTTTTTAACATCAGGATTGCTGCTATGTATATTAGCCTGGGCTCTTAAAACATAGATAAGAATTATTGTGAGCATTGTAACCTAATTGAATATGCCATGTTCTTTTTTTCCCCTTCTTACCTGAAATCATAACTCCATTTTTGGAATTGATTATAATATTATAAAGAACAACTACATTTGTCATTCTTTGGATTTAGAGACTAGATGCAAGAGATGCTTTAAAAAATATTTTATTTATTATTTTTATTTTTGAATGTATGAATGTATGTGAGTGCACCCATGTCGTGCAATGCCACGGAGGTTAGAAGAGGGCATCAATTCCCCTGGAACTGGAGTTAAGGACGGTATGTAGCTGCCGTGTGGGTGCTGGGAATCAAACCCGAGTCCTCTGTAAGAGCAGTCAGTGCTCTGAACCGCTGAGCCATCTCTCCAGCCCAAGAGATGCTTTTTACATTGAAACAGAGTTGCACACTCCAGTCCTGGCTAGCCTTGAACTCTCTTTATAGACCAGACTGACCTGAGACTTGGGGTTGTCTTACTGCCTTACCCCCCAAGTGCTGAGAGTACAGATATGTGCCACCATACCTGGATTAATGGGATTATTTATTTATTTTTCTAAAATAAAAATTAATTTTTATCAGTAACTGCACACCATTATATTCATTCATTATATGTTTTATGAATTCTTTAGTTGTGGAATCCTGCAAAGAATGAAAAACTACAAGATTTTTTTTTTTTGCAAGAGGTGCAGACGGGAAAACTCTGGTTATCTAGAGGTAAGAATGAAAAAATTTGTAAGTTTATAACTTTTCTTAAAAAAAACTACAATTTTTCTTGAAAAATATTTGATTAGGTAGGCATGGTGGCATATGCCTATAATCTCTGCACTTGGGAGGCAGAGGCAGGGGAACTGAGTTTGAGGTCAACTTGAGCTTTTACATAGTGAGAAAAGAAGAAAAAAAGGAATCTTTTATTAGTATTTATATGCCAAGTGACTTAGCTAGATGTAGTACTGATTGCTTCAGTTAAAATGAGACTCTCAGTATTCTGACTTGGTGCTGTCATCCCAATCTCCCATGTTAGCATAAATATTGTTGAATCAAAAACCTTTATTTATTTATTTATTTATTATTTATTTATTTGTCTTTGAGACAGGGTCTCCCTGTAGCCCCAGCTGTCCTGGAGCTCACTATGTAGACCAGGCTGGCCTCGAACTCACAAAGATCCGCCTTCCTCTGCCTCCCAAGTGCTGGGGGTTAAAAGCATGTGCCACCATGCCCAGCTAAAACCTTCACTTATTTTTATGTAAAATTTTCCAGTAAATGATTTTTCAAAATTATTAAATATTAAAACTTTAAGGTTTATTTTTTATGTGTATAAATGTTTTGCCTGAATGTATGTCTTTGCACCAAATGCATGCAGTGCCCATGGAGGCCAGAAGAAGGCATAAGATCCCTTGGAACTGGAGTTAGGGATGATTGTTAGCTGCCATGTAGGTGCTGGGAACCAACCTGGGTCCGCTACAAGAACAGCCAGTGCTTTTAACTGCTGAGCCATCACTTCAGTCTCCAAGAATCAAAACTTTTAAGCTGAGTATGGTGTTGTACACCTGTAATCTCAGAACTAAGAGGCTGAGGCAGGAGGAACCCTGTGAATTTGAGGCTACGCTGGGCTACAGAGTTGTGTGCCTCAAACACACAAAAAAATTATCCAAACTGCATTATGAAAATTTCCTTAGACTCTTCTAAAGACTTTTGATGATAAAATCATTACAAATGACCATTATTATACTGTTTAGTTTAGTGTAGCCCACAAGGGCCAATTTATAAATCATGACCACAACTGTATTTTGAGTTTTAACTTTTACTTAATTCTAGACAAACTTAAGAAAACCTTACAATATTATAGTTAAAATAATAGATAATATACTTATTGTAAAAATATTGTATGTAGGGGACTGGAGAGATGGTTCGGCAGTTAAGAGCACTGACTGTCTTGCAGAAGACCTGGATTTGAATCCCAGCACCCACATGGTAGCTAACATAACAACTGTCCATAACTCTAGTTCCAGGGGATCTGATGCCCTCTTCTAATCTCTGTGGGCATTGCATGACACAGATGCACTTAAATGCATGCAGGCAATACATTCATACATATAAAATATTAAAAAAAATTTTTTTTGGTCTTTTTGACACAGGGTCTCCCTGTAGCCCCAGCTGGTCTGGAACTCGTTATGTAGACCAGGCTGGCCTTGAACTCACAGAGATCCACCTGCCTCTGTCTCCCGAGTGCTGGGACTGAAGGTGTGTGCCACTACTCTGGGCTCTAAAAATGTTTTATGTAGTACTCATAATATCTTTATTCTGGTGCTAAGTTCAGTGAGGATAAAGAATTTGCGTTGAAATTATGTAAAGGTTAATTGATATTTCCAGATAAATAAGCATTATATATACCCATAAACTAAAAAATATTTTTCCCCAAGTTTTACAAATTCCCTGCCTATCATAATGCCTGTTTATTAATGAATGAATGATTTAAAAATTTATTTTATGTGTGTATGTCTATTGCCTGAATGTAAGTGCATCCATATTTGTGCAATGCCTGCAGAGGTCAGAAGAGGGCATCAGATGCCCTGGAACTGGAGTTACAGGACTGTTATTAGCCTGGGTCCTTTGCAAGAGCAGCCAGAGCTCTTAAGCATTGAGCCATCCTCCAGCCACTGAATAGTTTTTTGTTTGTTTGGTTTGTTTTTTTTTTTTTTTTTGAGATAGGATCTCACTGTGTAGCTCTGATTAGCCTGGAACTCATTATGCCTCAAACTTGAAGCGCTGAGATTAAAGGTGAGACAGGGTCTCCTTCAAGCCACAGCTGTCCTGGAACTGTCTATGTTGACCTGGCTAATCTGGAATTTAGAGATCCACCAGCCTCTGCCTCTCAACTGCTGGGATTAAAGGTATGTGCCACCATACCCAGCTTTTATTTTTTTTTAAATTTAAAAAATTTTTTTGGTCTTTTTTGAGACAGGGTCTCCCTGTAGCCCTAGCTAGCCTGGATTCACTATGGAGACCAGGCTTGCCTCGAACTCACAGAGATCTGGCTGCCTCTGCCTCCCAAGTGCTGGGATTAAAGGCATGCGCCACCACGCCTGGCCCAGCTTTTATTTTTTACTTAAGAATTTTTTTATTACATTTTAGTTATGTTGTATGCGTTCCTATACATGTATTTGGTTAGAGGACAACTTGCAGGAGTCTTTTCTCTCCTTCCCAGGGGTCAGGATTGGCAGCAAGTTCCTTTACCCACTGAGCCATTTTGTCAGCTCACTGTTTTCCTTTTTCAAAAGAATTTGTGTATTAATCTGTTTGTAACTGTGCAGCATTACTTAGGACTTATAAAAACAAAGAGGAAGATGGGGCTGGAGAGATGTCTCAGTGGTTAAGAATACTGACTGTTCTTGCAGAAGACCCGGGTTCGAATCCCAGCACCCACATGGCAGCTAACAACTGTCTGTAACTCCAGTTCCAGGGGATCCAACAGCCTCTTCTGTCCTCTGCGGGCATTGCATGACATGGGTGTACTTACCTACAAGCAGGCATAACACTCATACACATAAAATAAAAATAATAAATAAAATATTTAAAAGAAAACCAAACCCCCAAACAAAAACAAACAAAAAAACCAAAGAGGAAGTCAAGAGCTTAGTCAACTTGACCATGAAGACCATTGCAAGGATTTGGGGGGGGGAATTGCAGCCATTAAAATCATAGCACATTAATCATAATTTGAAATTTTATTATTTCATTTAATACTGATTTTTGTTTTCAGGTGGAGTAATTTGTCAAATGGATGGAAACCTTGGCTAACTTAAAAATATATTTTAAGCTGGGCATGGTGGCACATGCCTTTAATCCCAGCACTTGGGAGGTAGAGACAGGTGGATCTCTGTACGTTGAGGCCAGCCTGGTCTACATGGTGAGTTCCAGGCCAGCTGTGGCTACTGGGAGACCCTGTCTCAAAAACACACACAGAAAAAAAAAAGTTTTAATGAGCTGGGTGTGGTGGCACACTCCTTATTTTTATATGAGTGCTTTGCCTGCATGAGTGTAAGTGTACTCCTGTGTGCAGTGCCCACAGAGGCCAGAAAAGGGTGTAGTGTCCCCTGGAACTGGAATTACAGATGGTTGTTAGCGACCATGTAGGTGTTGGGAATTGAACAGGGGTCCTCCGCAAGAGCAGCCAGTGCTCCTAACCCTGAGGCATCTCTGCAGCTCCTATTCTGGCTAACTATTAATAATGAAGTTACAACTGATACAAGTGATAGAAACAGGGCTGACTTTACACAAGTTGGAAGTTACACTAAGGATTTAACTTTTTCCAAGTCCTGGGCAATTTTTTAAAAATTTATTTTTATGTATATGATTGTTTTGCCTGCAATGTATGTATACTATGCATATATCTTGGGCCCAGAAGATGGAAGAGAGCATCGAATCCCCCGGAACTGGAGTTAAGGATGTTTGTGAGACATTATGTAGGTACTGGAAACTGAATCTAGGTCCTCTATAAGAGCAGCAAGTGTTAACAGCCGAGCCATAGCTCCAGGCCCCCTGAGGAATTTTTTATTTGTATTTATATACTTTTCCTAACACAAGAGTCCTCAAATTGTATAATGTCAGACCTAGCATAGTGGCACATGCCTTTAATCCCAATACTCAGTATGCAGAGACAGGAGGATCTGTGTGTTCCAGGCCAGGTGGGGCTACAGGGATTCCCTATCTTAAAAAGTTCAGAAGAAGGGGCTGAAGAGATGTCTCAGGGGTTAAGAGCACTGGCCGCTTTAGCAGAGGACCTGGGTTCAAGTCCCAGCACCCACATGGTGGCTCACAACTTTCTGTAATTTGAGCTCTAGGTGACCTGATGTTATCTTCTGACCTTCACAGGCATTGCAGGACACAGGCACACTTACTTACATGCAGGCAAACACACACACACACACACATAAAAAAAAAATTCAAATAGATGAAATGTCAATTTTATTTTTGGTCTTTTTGAGACAGGGTCTCCCTGTAGCCCCTGCTGGCCTGGAACTCGATATGTAGACCAGGCTGACCTTGAACTCACAGAGATCCACTTGCCTCTGCCTCTCGAGTGCTGGGATTAAAGGCTTAACTTTAACTTATATTGAAGATTCAAGGAAGAAAAATTTGAACTGTTAAAAAAAGGCATGTTGCTTTAGTGAACAAGAGGCTACAGGTATGGTGGGCTACACTCTAAGGCCTAGGCACACAGCAGGCTATGCTAAGCTTATATAAGTACATGCTTCAGTGTCTACACAATGACACTAGGATGCAATATAATGTTGCATTTCTAAGAACTGGCGCATTTTCCAGAATGTGCCCCCGGTGTTAACGCAGGTCCACATATTTTATCATCTTATTCTTAAAGAGCTATCATGTAATAATGTAGATATAGAGGTGGGTAAGTTACAAAGTTTGGAATGGTTAGAACAAAAATTCAAACGAGTTTAAAAACTGTCTCAAATGTATTTATACATCTGTTTTCTTCCTCTGGATGTATAATTCATGTTACATTGTCTCATTTCAGTGATTTGTTAATTTTTTAAAGTTTAACCTAGTCACATCCAATATTTGTGCTGTCATATCTTACCAATTACATATGGAGAGATAGTTTACCACTTATTAGTAAAAGCAGACTACAAGACTGCAAATCCTGTGTCCACCCTGACATGTTTCAAATGCAGAGCATTTGCAATGCAAGCGTGCACTTGTGTGAACAGTGAGCATGCTTGGTGTGATGTCTCATCAGCTACTCCTACTGCAGTGTCAACATGTGAACACTCCCTCTCACGGTTGCAATCTTACTCATGGGATTGTCTGAATAGTGTTCAGTTTGCTACCTTTTAAATTCTTGATGTTTTCTGCTTTCTTGCTAATCTGTAGAATATGTATTTTGAAAATTGTTAGAAATTCTGCTTCATACGCACCAGTCTGTTTCAGGAGAGCATGAAATGGGGGTCAAACATCTCAGCAATGCCCTTTTAGTGTATGGGCAACCATAGCATCTTCTGAAGGTTTACAAACAAACATTCCCTCCTGAGGTATTTGAGATGCTATTGCTCAAAATTCCCCTTATTTTCCAGGTGAGTGCATATTTAATTATCCTTGTTGAAACATATACATTAAATACCCATGATAGACTTGATTACATAGGAATAGCAATGTATGTATGTGAAATTCCAAAGTTCTATGAATCATGTCTGTATTTCTGGTTCTACTATTTTGTTAAGCTAAAACTAGCTTATAGTTCATGTTTTACTATACTGAATTATGTATTTTGTTATTATGCATGTTTCAACATTTCAACTTGAAAGCAGAATAATACATCCCGCTAACACAACGAAACACGGAAATCTGTTCAATGTAAACCTATAGGCAGGCTAACTGGTGCTCTATGAGTTTAACTAGTAAAAGTAAAATCCATTCAGAGAACTGGCTCAGCAAACTTACCTAAGTTACTCCATTTTGTTCAAAGCCATTTTAGCAGCAACTTTGCTCCACACCAAAAGGAAAAGGGGGGCAACCTTGGGCCTTGGGAAATTGTCCTAACCATGAACCATGGAATGTGCTAATTCCAGACATTTTACATAAAACTAACCGCTTATTTTAGATTCTGTAACTTGATATCTTGTGTCACCTTGACCCAGGGCATAGGACCACCCTTGTTATCCTGTTATTG